TGAGCATTAAAGTCCCCCAAAAACACCAATTCTGCATTGGGAAATTGTTCCTGCGCGTCATCTGCTGCCCGACTAAGGTGTTCAAAAAGTCGAGTTGTCTCAACATCGCCGGTGTGGGATCTGTAGAGACACACGTAAACTCTGGCCAGGGGGCCAGAGTCGACGTGTACCCCCAGCATGGAGAAGGAGGGATCTTCCAAGCAGCGGAGACGGCGACAACAAACATCCGCCCGAACATACAGGCATACACCGGCTTTCGCTTTGAAGGACTCTTCAAGCACGTAGCCGGGATAATTAAGGTAGCCTGTGTCAGCAGGCGGAAGTATTTGTGTCTCCGTCAGGAACAACAATGCTGGCCGTGCTGTCTCAAGATGGTGGTGGACAGCGTTGAGGTTAGAGTGGAGTCCGCGTATGTTGCAGAACTCGACCTCAAACAGCGTTGAAGGCGTGGGGGTGTGCACCGCTGAACGTCCAAACTTTGTTTTAGGAGCTGCCATTATGGAAGTGAAAAAGAGACGTGAAACGAGTGGACGTTGTCGCGACAAGACCGGGCAAATTAGGGAGGCATGTTTCCCCGAATGATTGCCTGCAGAGGATATACGCCGACCCGCCGGACGGAAGGGCCCCCGCACCCCCCCGGGAGTGGCCGCCGGGACCCCACGCCCCGGTCACCAACCGGCACGACGGTCCACCCCGAGATTATGCGTGACATGATGGGGCAGCCTCGCGAACTGGTTAGGAACGCTCGGGCCCCTGTACTGTGCCACGGGCGGCCAGCGGGACAGCCGTTTCTACGGGTCTCCCTGGCCGGCGGGTCGGTGCAGTCCTCCCGGCATCGGTTCCACGGATGCCTAGCCCTGGACCGAATCCGTCGCGACAACCTCCACTCGAGCCCTGGTTGTACGCTGGCTGACCCCGAAACGCGCGAGAAGCACTTCACGGGTTTTTCACCATGCGCACGGTGGTAACAAACCAGGCGGGTGTTAGGCACCCTACCACCAGCAGAGCGGATGGAAGCTCCGATATCCCTTAGTCGCCTCTTACGACACCCACGGGAAGAGAAGGGGCGGTGAGTTGTATTCTTTCTCCGTCACCGCACGGATGATATTATATTCGATTTAGCTATTAGGACACGGAAGCGCAACAAACAAACTCACTTTCGCATCTATAATATTATATTATACTTACTAGTGATCCACCCGGGCATTGAACGGGAGAAATTTATTTATCGGGATAAAATATAGGCTATGTCACTCGGACAAAATGTATTTAAGTAAAGAAAAATGTTATAATAAATAATGTAACCGGTACAGTAGTTTGACAGATTCTTTGTTACAAATATACAAATCTTGCCTCTTTATAATATTAGTATAGATAGTTAGGATAAGATAAGTATTTAATTAATGAAAAAGATTTAAAAATAAAGTAAGTAATAGGTTTATTTGATTATATTTGTAAAAGTTACTTAGCATTTGTGCTTAACAGTGATACGTTATTCGGTATTTTTATAACAAAAAAAAATTTGGAAAATAATTGCCATGATTGCACTACTGGGAATACTCTTCATTCGAGCTTTACACTACCAATAAAAAAGGGTCGAACACAAAGTCTTTGACCTGTTAAATGTGGACGCTTTAAAAGAAAACTACAAAGAGAACTATAAATTGATAATAAATGAGATTGCTATGGTGCTCTACCTAACGTTATGAAAATTTTATTATGCGCTTTTAGTTTAATCAAATATTATAAACTTTGCTTTGGTGATTGCATAATTATTTAATTTAGTGATCTAAGGCAGTTGCCACCATTGTCCAAAACAACAGACGGGAATTACTTCTTTCTTCAACCTGCGACATAAACGTCATTGATAGGTATTGTATATAGGGCGATTAAAAACATTTGAAGTTAACTTCTGGCATCTACATATTGGGTTTCTGTGAATTATGTAGGTATATCAAATTATGGGACTAGGGACTGACACTGAATTTGTGTATATCACAATCTTAGACGTCCGGCATTGAAATGACAATGCAGCCACTGCCAATTTTAAATAGTCGACGAATAAAAGTAAATGAATTTTATATTTACTGCTAAACTATTAAAAAAATCATAACAAAAGATGACTTTTTGAGTAAGTGCTAGTTTACTATAAAAGGGGTTTGGGTAAAAGTGGCTTGATTTTCAAAGTCTGCGGCCACGAATGCTTTATTTTTTAATGAATAGAACTAAAAAAAATAAAAATAAAATATAAAGTCCATATATCTGTAAAGTACATCGAAGCCAAGATATGATTTTTTTAAAATAGAATAATCATAAATTCATATCACTAAATCTTACGTGCTTTTTTGTATGAATTGTTGTCTATAACATACCATTTAACAATAACGGTTTAATAGACCCTTTTTTGTCTGGTTTGACCGCCTCAGCCAATCACATCAGTCTTTGGATATTCCACTTAGATCTCGTGTATGTGAAGATCATGTCAACTCTATATATATATGCCAGTGTAGCTGTCCGGCACGGCGCAATGCTCCGTGCCGGACAGCTCGGGATCCCCACGGGCAGGGCCATGAAAATGTAGTGCCTCCATAATACACTCGTGGAGAGACTGTTCTCTTCTTCTTCTTTCAACGTCCTTATGGCGCCTGTTTTGCGTTAGGAGGGTGTATAGGCGGAATCACTCCAGCCAGCCCAGCTTCATCAGGAACGCCCCCAGGGCCTTCACATTTGTGACTGCCTCTTGGAGGTTTCCCGGTGAGCCAAGGTATTTCGCCCGGTATTCGGCCACTTCGTTGCATTCCAGCAGAACGTGAGTAGCTGTTTCTTCTGCCTCCATGCATCCTCTGCATAGAGGGTTGTCCGTGACGCCTAAGTTAAAAAGATGTCTGTTAAAATGTGCAGGTCCGGTAATAGCACCTGTTACCATACGTAATGTAGGTTTGCTTAGCTGTAGAAGAGTTTTGGAGAGGACAGCGATCACCCGTGGCAAAGCGAGCTTGGTCTGCCTGCACGTCTCCAGATCAAGCCAGTGTTGCTGGTGTAATGCGGCTGTGTGCTCGCAGATTATATTTACGAGACAGCTTACTGGTATCGGGACGATTGGTTCGGGACCTGTTGAGGTCGAATCGGACCCCTTCCGGGCCAGCTCATCCGCAGCGTCGTTTCTGCGTGATCCACTGTGTCCCTTTATCCATTGGATAGTAATAGAATTGCTTTACCCTACCGTGTTTAGGGTTTGGTGGCATTCTTGCAGGAGGCTCGATTTGACTAAACAGGCATCTAAAGCTTGTTGTTGCTTTCGGACAGTATTCGTATTTCCTGTCCTGTTACCTTTCTTGAAAGGATCGCTCTTGCCGCCAGTATGATGCCCATACATTCAGCTTGAAAATCTGTGTTGTACGGGCTTAAGGGGAAAGCGATATGTATATTGAGGTCCTCAGAGAAAACACCCGCGCCTGTGCCCGTTGAGGTTTTAGAGCTGTCGGTGTAGATCATGAGAGCCTTGTATGATACCTTGGGATCGTTGTCATCCAGTAGATGTATACTGTATTTTTTGTCAAATATGAAGGCAGGTATTATTTTGGAGGAAAGACTGTTAAAGGCGTTGCGGATGTCTAGCTACACCGCAATAGCAGTCTCTCCTATTCAAAAGGGCCACCACCTCCACCGTGGACCGGTTTCGCCGAAACCCGAACTGGTGCTCTGCCAGATTTGGGTCCGGCTCCCTCATGTGCTCGATGATACGCCCCGCCAGATTTCTTTCAAAGAACTTCCCAGCGTCATCGAGCACCAATGCTACCGCGGCCCAGGTAGGTACTCTAGATCAAGTTTTTGATCTGTTTGTTTTTTTTTCATTAATGTTAGTTTTTAGAAAGCGTTACCACAATACGAAACATGTATAATAATCTCAGGAGTTAATTTAATGAGCTTTTATATCATATGACTTTTGTTAGAATTCAAGATCAAATATCTTGGTTCCGATATTAGTTAAGGAAGTACTACTTTGCTAAGAACAATCACATATATAGTACTATCAAACAATCATAATTAGTTCAGTGGCCGCTGAAAAAAAAAATCAAGCCAACCTACATACAAAATTACCCAATCCCCTTTACATATATTAGAGATATTTATGTAACGACTTGATTTAACTTCACACATTTTCGCGAAAATTGAGGCCCATCTGTAGCCTTGACCCCGCTGGTAAAGTCTTTATATGTCTTAGTAAATCAATCTTTTAGATCGACGCAAGGTACTTAATAATTCCTGCGATATTAATTCCCTTACTGAAGTAACAATACTACGGTATATCTTTATATATATAATTCTTCTGTGAGTGTGTATGTCACTGAACTTCTCTTAAACGACTGGACCGATTTTGATGAAATTTTTGTGTGTGTTCAAGGGGATCTGAAAATGGTTTAGATTCACAATTTTGTCCGCTGGACAACCCCTATTTTTTTAGGGCGATACGAAGTTCGCTGGGTCAGCTAGTATCGTCTTAAAATACTAACTAAAAAGTGTGAAATAAAAAAGGTAAATCTAAAAAATCAAAAAACCTGACTGCTTATTTATTCTTCAAATAACAACTGAAAAGAAAAAAACAAGTCCAGTAGTCTATAATTCTGTTAATAAGGAACAAAGCTACTTTAACAGTCGGGACCCACTGTTGAAAAATATTATGTATTCTTGAATATCTAATGGGTATCTAATGGTATCTAAGAATAACTAACCTCCACGGCATCCGATTCAGCAGACTTCTTAAAATCGTGGCTCGCATAAAACTTCTATCTCTCCAGTGTGATGTTATGCATTTTATCTATGGTGTAGTGTTCGCCACTGTACAAGTTCGACCTCAAACACAACAGAAACACACTCGGAAGTTGCCATTTCTGGTCCCACAAATAAAAGTCTTATTTGACTAGACTGTAGTACAACAGGAGCGTTACCAATCCCCTAAAGAGTTTTCCAAATGGTATCTAACATTAAGACTAACTAACCTCCACGGCATCCGATTCAGCAGACTTCTTAAAATCGTGGCTCGCATAAAACTTCTGTCTCTCCAGTGTGATGTTATGCATTATATCCATGGTGTAGTGTTCGCCACTGTACAAGTTCTACCTCAAACACAACAAAAACACACTCGGAAGTTGCCATTTCCGGTCCCACAACACTCTGTGCACAGGTTGCCTTTTCTTTCACATCGTTCTTTTGACGCCTTGGCGACCTGCAACAATGAAAGAGGCAATTAATCTTAGTTGTCACGACGATAGAGCAGATTAGAAGTTCAACCTTGACATTCATGGGATCTATTAAAAGTCCAGGGTCATTGTTTTTGAAATGTTAAGGAAAAACAATTGTTCCCAATTCATTGGTTTTTAATACAATTACTTACTGACCTAGCGAACTTCGTATCGTCATAAAAATACGGATTGGTGTTGAAAGGGTGAACATTTTGGGTTGTTTGTTGATCTAAAGAAAATTTTACTAGAAAAAATCCACGCGGTCCTTCGGACAGGATTCCCTGTTAAATGTCCGTCATGTTGGATTAGAAGATCGTTTTAAAACTTGTTTCGTTTAACTTTTTGGCGACCTCCGTGGCCGAGTGGTTCATACGCGGGGTTTCATGGTGTCGCCGACTCGAGAGGTCCCGGGTTCGAATCCCGGTGGGGGCAGCTGTTTGTGTGATGAACATGAGCATTTGTACTCCAGTCATGGATGTTTAATATGTATTTTCTATATAAATATACTTATATATGTATCCTATCTGTAACCCTAGCATCCCATAACACAAGCCTTATTAGTGCTTACTTTGGGGCTAGGCTAATTGGTGTGTGTTGGAAATATTTATATTTTATACCAGTAAAAACAACATTTAATTTTATTATAATTTTATTTCCCCGCAAACTGGTGTGTACTTAACAAAATTTTCAAGTTGAAATGTTGCCAACATGATTAAGTAACATTGGCGTTGAAACGGGAAACAATACACAACTTTCAATCAATCAATCAATCAATCAATCAATCAAAATCATTTATTCAGTTTAGGCTGTTACAAGCACATATGAATGTCTAGAAGCTACGCCATCGGTTCGTAAATCTACGGCGGGAGACCTTGTACTGAGAAGAACCGGCAAGAAACTCAGCAAGGGCTGTTTTTTTTCTCCCTGTTTTATTATTTACAGAGTCGTCAAATTGAAAAATGACTTCAGAGGTGATTCATGAAGTCACTTTTCATTACATAATTATTAAATATACATTAATTGTTTACCTGCATTTTGATTGCTGTGTCATACAGTATAAATACAAATAGTGTTATTTATATTCAGTGTGACTAAACATTAACTTCAATATTATGGAAGTTAGGGCAGACTCATCTCCGCTGGCAGCACCCGTTCACGAGCATGACGCATGACCCAGCCATCGCTTCGCTCAACCATATTTTAGGGAACGTAACGACCCGCCTCACTAGACACCGCCGAAGAGACTATTATGAGAGCATAACTACCCATAACTACCCATACTAACTACAACATATTTACTTAAATTAAGGTCATTTACCTGTAAGACACAACAAACAATTACAAAACAAAGCAAAGGAGAAATCACGACCACGCCGTTTTGTCAATCAAATATTCTTAAACAGTCTGATAATCTTACTTAAGTTATCAACTTTATATACAGCTTTCAGTTTAATTATAATATTGTCAACACATAATTCATAATTTAAATCATATAGAAATACCCGTTGGAATGGTTGGAACAGTTCATACCCAAGCATTTTTGTCTGTAATATAATCAGACACTTTATAATATGCTTTCTTAACTAGTGATTTTGTAATGGTCGATTTAAATTTAGTCATGCTTAACTCTTGAATATTGCTTGAAACTTTATTGTAAAAGCGAACACTAAGACCTCTAAACGAATTATTGATTTTGTGGAGCCTAGTAGCAGGTAAAGTTAAGTTATTTTTATTTCTAGTATTATATGTATGTATTCCACTATTTTTAGTAAACAAATTAATATTTTTTTTTACAAATACTAAGTTGTCATATATGTATTGTGATGCAACTGTCAATATACCTATTTCTTTAAACTTATCTCTTAATGAATCCTTAACTTTAAGATTATAAATTGATCGAATAGCCCTCTTCTGCAGCACAAATATAGTTTGAATGTCGGCGGCATTTCCCCACAGTAAAATACCGTAAGACATTACACTATGAAAATAACTAAAGTAGACTAATCTGGCAGTTTCTATATCCGTTAACTGCCGTATTTTCATTACAGCATATGCTGCAGAACTAAGTCTCTTCGACAATCCATCAATATGTGGGCCCCACTGCAGCTTAGAATCTAGTGTGATTCCTAAGAACACTGTGGTATCTACAGAGCTCATATGTCGATCCTTTATATTTACATTAGTTTTTACCTGTTTCACATTAGGTAAAAGGTCTTTGAGGTCTCTGCCATCCCTTACTATGACATGCACAAATTGCTAAAAAGCTTTTTACTAACTAAAAATCAACAAAAAAAAACATGGGTTTTGAAACCTGTTTTTAATTTTAACATAGCGCACATTGATAAGAAGAGTGGCACCAAAACCAAAACCAAACCAACCAAACCAAAAAAACATTTTTTTCCGTTGAAGCATTTAAAGTTTTACCAAACAGTAATTTCGACTTTTGCAATCGTGTTTAACGCTCTCTGCAATAGAAATATGAAATGAAATGAAAAACTTTTATTGGCCATCTTACATAATAATAAAATTAAGGTAAAAAAAACCTTTTTAAAAACTAGCTTTTATTCAAATGCGCTAAAAAGAAAATTTCAAGTAAATTAGTTAAAGATATCTGTTTCTAAATAGAAGTCCGCCATATTGGATTGAGAGTGACGTCACATTTTTTTCGAGTTACTCTCAGCAAGCCCTTTAATTTGATACCCATATTGTAGGAATGCATTAAAAATGATTGGTCCGCCATTTTGGGTATGCCGCCATATTGGATTTAGAATGACGTCATACTGTTAATCATGCATTGTCATCCGAACTGAAGGAGCATATCAAATTTCAGCTTAATCGGTTGAGAGCAAGTGCTTTAAAATTGAGTTGTAAGATTTGACCGTAACAAACATACATAGCAAGTTAAATAAAAGCTTGTAAAAATACTATAAATATAAACAAAAAAATAAAAGAAGAACTTAACCTAAAAACAAAAAATAACAACATAAAACTAAGACGGCCAATCAGGACCCTGCCTCAGCTTACGCTGACACAGTGGGAGAATACTCTCTCACTGTATCAGCGCTGGTATTCTGGCAGGGCCTGTGCGAGGACGTGTTAGGCGCTAACAAGTAACAAAACAATACGTTTATGCTTAACCAATCATATTTTATTTTATTGCGCATACACACTATCATAACATGACATATTGATTTTTTATTCTTTCTGGTGCAAAAGTCGTAATTACTCTTTGGTAAAACTTTAAATGCTTCATTATAGATATTAACGGGATTGTTAACATGTACTTTGTTTTGTGTTACTAGTATTGTGTGCCGGGAACAAATGCGAGTGAATAGTGAGACTGTGACCAGTGGTAGGGGTATCGAACGCAGTAAAAGACGACGTCAGAGGGTAGACCGATATGTCTGCCAATAACATCTACCCGCAATTACTTCAGTTACTCCGTGATCATGGCGCTTGCAACAGTGCCGAAATATCGGAGACTCATAAAAAACAAGGTACATGGTAACAATCCCGTTAATATCTATAATGTTAGTGACCATGAAAGTTTAAAACAATATATTTAAATGCTTCTACTGAAAAAATGGCTTTTTGGTTACTGTCACTCTTCTTATCAATGTGCGATAGTTACCCTATCAATTAACTCCACGTTATCTGATGTTTTTTATTGCCTTCGAAGGCAGACGAGCAGACGGGCCATCTGGTGTTAAGTGGTCAGCATTGCCCAAAGACACCAACAATGGCAGTGACACAGCCACGTCGCTGTCTTTCGAGGAACACTATTTTTAGGCCTCGTTTGTGATCGCTTTAGGCCAGTAATTTGCAGGGTCAGACTGGTCATCTTTTTGAGGAATAGGGTTGACGTGAGGACCTTCCACGAATCTACAACTGAGTTATTTTCGTATGAAAGGCGAAACGAGCGCAAAAGGCTAGATACGGCACTAGCCTCACAAAAGTGATCCGTATGAATTGTGGTCCACGACCCTAATCGCTTTAGTCACAACTTGACATGCAAACGACGTACATGTGAACTCTAAAAAGAAATATTGCCAATATTTTGTGTTTATATGATAAAACAATGCCTAAGTGTGTTTTTAAAAAGTGCTCAAATTGCTCAAGAACTAAAAATAAAACCCACGGCATCACTTTTCATTCGTAAGTACTATACAATATATTTAATCCAAAAAAAAAAGCCGTTTGTTTTGAATCTTATTCGGTAGTGACGTCGAGTACTGGTCGCGAGATTGATCGGTAGTGCAGTGACGCGGATCTCGCCGTCTCGTTCGCGCTGCCGTTGAAACTTAACGTGCTGTTTCGCTCGGGTCGGTAATGCAGTGACGCGGATCTCGCCGTCCCGTTCGCGCTGCCGTGGGATCAGTTTTTGTTTGATGCAAGTATGAGCGTACCGTATCTAACCTTTTTGTTTTAATCTAAGGCATAAGGACGGGGGCGAGCTCAGGTACGCACATATTTAGCATTGCCGCATGGATGCAATCGGACTCACACGACTCGTGAACGTCCATAAGTTCGCGCCGAACTGCTCGCTGAGTTAAGCGGATTTTGAAACAACAACTCTCCCTTCAATTGGGGAATTTAAGAAACTTTCGCAATAACCGGCCTTAAGATAGTTCATCAAAACTTTATTATTACTTCCGTAATTCGGAGGGTACGTTAAATATTATATTGCAAAAGTGAAACGGATTCGGTATGCGTTTGTTAAATAATAAACATCGGGACGGCCTTTGAAATCTGTTGTATTTGTAATTATTGAACACTTAATAATGGTTGATTCAGTGATGTTATTGCTGCTTCAATACTCATACTTTATTTTGTAATGTAGGTTTTAT